ATAAGGTTTGTCCTCCAGGCCCTTAATCATTCTTGTGGCCCTTCTCTGGACCCTTTCAAGATTCTCCATGTCTTTTTGAAGTGGAGCACCCAGAACTGGACACAGTACTCCAGCTGGGGTCTCACCAACGCTGAGTAGAGAGGAAAGATGGCATTGCCTCATCTAAGACTATCTTCCTGTTACTGTTCAAATACTACATAGGAGGATTAAACTCTAGGCCATGTCCCTAAAGCCCATTCCTACTGCATCCCCATGTGTACTGTATTTTGTAGCTCTTATGCTGCAGGACCTACAAGACAGTATTTGAGAGTGTGATAAAGGAGCTGCTGATGAAAACTGATTCTGCTGAAGAGATTGACATTAGCCCTCACCCTCATCTCTCACAAGTGCTGCTGCTCAGTGAAACCAAGAAGAAACTGGAGAAACAGTAAGTGTCTTAAGAAACTGCATTACACAGAGCAGTGATGCTCAACCTTTTGTCCTCACAGGCCAAATGAATGGTATAGGGCTGGTCTATGGACCAGATTGGGCCCTGGGGCCTGGCACTGCCCCCTCCTTGTACATTGTGCTGGAATTGAGTCCCGAGTGCCCAGCAGCACTCCCTCCCACCCCCTGAGTCTAAGATTGGGTTCAGGGGGCCCAGTGAACCCTTGCCTGGCCTTGTGCACTGGGATCAGACATCCCAGCATGCGGGGCCCAGAGATCCCCATGGATTCAGAAATTTTGCGGCAGGAGAGTGTATGATGACACAGCACCACAGGCCACATCTGGCCTGTGGGCTGGATATTGAGCACCTTGATCCAGGAGTGGGAAATGGGAAACCCTCTTCTCTCAGGTTCTCAACTAACACTTCAGCAGAACACTGCGTGTGCAATTCCATGTTATCACTTTGTCTTATGGTCATGAACATGGACAAGCAATAAAGCCTTGTTTTGGACCTGGTTCTGGACTGTTAGGTGCTTTTGTGGAGGGGACACTTAATATTGCCTCTAAAAACAGAGAAGTCTTGATCTGGATTAAATCCAAGTGAAAGATTTAGAGTCTGCCTGGCAGTGGCTGCCTGAGCAGAGGCAATGGAGTGCAGGTGATCAGAGTGTTAAGAAACAGACTGGCCCGAGCTTGCTGAGGAGAAGCCAGGACCAAGTGCTCACAAGCCATAAGATCCAAGTGCTCACAAGCCATAAGATCTTTGCAGTGTTTAAACCTTCTTTAGGCTCCTTTTGTAAGTGGGCTTGATTTCTAGAAAGTGTTAAGCACCAAGTAACTCCCATTGAAGGCAAGTGCAATATGTAAAGTACAATGGCTTTGGCACTCAATAGAGGAGCTACTCAAAACCCAATGGTCCTGTGGAATTGGTCCCTCCAATGTTGTTCATCCATGGAAAGAATATGTCACAAAGAACATGCAAACATGTTAATGAAGTTCTATCACAACTTTTGCTTAATGGCATCATGCCTAAGTGTCATACCCTTGAGAACGTAAAAACAATCTTCCTCCAGAACTAAAATGACTTGTATCAGCTTCCTCTGATCTAAGCATTAGGAAAGAATTGTGTTTGGGAAAGACATTCCACACACAGAACAATACTTCAAACATGTAGCCAATACGGTGCCTTTTGGTGACCTTTGGTTAGGATCTAATGTTGAATAGTATAAATGGAGTATCTGGGCTTCCTTTACATAGTCTAGTGTTTTTGGGTGTGACAAGTTCGGGTCCCAGGGGCAGCTGTGACGCCCCCTGGTAGCCACGTAATTCCTGCCCTGGCTCCAACTCTAGGGGCCCTCACCACCTTTACTCTTCCATCATGCTTTTGATGTTAATGTTTGGAAAGGAGGGAGGCTGCCTGAGGGACCTAGAGTGACCCTGATGTTGTTCCAGTGTTGGGCTCTGGTCTTCTCAGCCTCCGCTCTTTTTTGTTCTTGCCAAGCCCTCTAGCTCTAGTCCACTGACCAGACCAAGCTTTGGGATTCCCAGCTTCTTGTCTGCCTTCTGAGGCCTTATATCTGCCCCTTCTTGTGCTGCTGAGCCAACCTGGACTCTGTCTCTGTCTGGGCCCCAGGCCCTATCTCTGCCCTGCTCCAGGCTTCAGGCCCTCTGGCCCCTATATCTAAATCTTGTCCTTCTTGGTCTCTGGGCTCCCTAGCCCTAGTCCCCAAGCCCTGCTTTGCCCTTAATGCACTCTATGGGATCACCCCTCTGGGCATGATCAGTGCATCCCTCAAAGGCGCTGAAGGATTGCCCCTCTCAGGCACTATGGAATAGCCCCTCCAGACATGCTTGTGCACCCCCCACAGGCACTACAGGATTTCCCCTCTCACGCATTATGGGCTCACCCCTCCGGGAATGCTCGGTGCACCCCTCACAGGCTATAGGATTGCCCCTCTCAGGCACTATGGAGAAACTTCTATTTCTACAAATATAGGCTTAAAAGGAAACACAAGAGATCATCTAGTCAAAACCCCTGTGCCAAGGTGGAGTAGCTAGACCACCCCTGAAATGCTTCTCTAACCTGATCTTAAAAACCCTCAGTGAAAGAGATTCTGTCACCTCCCTAGATGGCCATTCTAGTGTTTCATCACATTAACCATTAGAAATATTTTCCTAATATCCAGCTTGACTCATCTTTGCTCCAAAATGAACTGATATCTCCTTTTCCTTCCCCTAGCAACTATGGGAAATGATTTCATAGATTTCATAAACATTAGGCCCAGAAGGGACCTCAGAAAATCATCGAGTCCAGCCCCCCGCCCAAAGGG